AAGCTCATAACTTTGCTGAGATTAGGATAAATTTGAAAATATGAATGGTGCGTGGCGCGACAGCTGCATAAACTTTTTTCCACGTGTTACCACACATCACACGGAAACAACTTGAAAGAATCGACGAGTATCAGTTTAGGATTATCGTGACAGCAACTGTTGTAGTTTTGTGTTGATAAATTCGAGGGAATTATGGTGCAGTATAGGTTCTAGTCTTAAAACGATTGTTTGCATCGCAGTTGGGGACTGAAAACTTGAAATTTAAAGGCTCGATGTGAGAAGCCATTTTGAAAATATACTAATGCAAAACACTGCTGGCGACTCAGCAAAGTGTAACTGAAATGAGTGATCATTTATTGAGAAACATTTCATGGGTCACACATATCTTAAGCAAGCACCACAAATCTTGAGAAATGAATTAGATTCTTTCGAAAAACATGATGATATGGCAGAATCTGAAGTCTCGGATGGGATGACTGATTCTCTTGAAAGGAAGCAGAGTTTACGAAAGACAATTCTTCAAATGTCACTTAGCACAAAATAGGAATGGGAAAGCTGTACAACGAATAGAGCATTTAGAGTATGACGTTTGATACATGCGAGAGTAAATCCCACTATGAGATCAATAAGCTTGAATGAGCGTCAATGTTTGAAAATTGGAGATATGCACAGAAAAAGCTATCATCTCTGACTTCTGCTCAATTTTTTCTTTTGTGTAGAATATGTACTTCGAGAAAACCTTCTGCATTTCTCCTCTGACGCCATGGGTAAGGTTTCTTATCAGAATCTTGGATAGTATTTGGACAGCGCTTCCAAATTTACATACTCATCTTTTTTTCAATCAAACAAAAACTGAGTGAGGTAATTCGTGAACATAACTACACAAGAACGATGGAAACTGAAATGGTGAATTGCTGAAGCTGAACGTCATTGCATCCTCTTCTTCAGAAGGAGCCTATGAAACCTCAGGTCACCCCACCCAGCAGCCAGTAGAAACACTATCAATAACACTTAACTGTTTAATTAAGTTCAGGTTTGCATGATAATAGGATTGTTTGTTCCCATCATCAGGTTCTCTGGTTTCAGAAAAGTATAGATGTTGTCCACTGCTTTTGTTTACTTCAATTAGCATCAACGATTTTCTGAAGCCGTCTTACGTAGCTGAGTGGCTCATTCCAATTCATTGTATCCGTGTAGATCAATGTACACAAGAGGTAGTAATATCGAGATCTCCACATTCAATTTACGAATGCTATCCAGCACGGATTCGTTTCGGTTGGTACTAGTGTGCATTTGACTTCTACCACACAATAGGCCAATACTCTTCAGTTTGGTTTCATTTCAGTTAGCATAAATTTACAATTGACCTATTCTTCACCTCAGGTGAATTGGTTTTATTTGTAATATGAATTCAAAATTTACAATCCAGTTGTTGTTTAGTGTTTACCATTGGTTTATTTCTCGTTGCATGGACCACAGTTAGCTGCAACCATGCTTATTTACTTAAACTGAATTAAGTTGAAATACTTCTTCTCCTTGTTCGAGAAAGCAGTTGTTAATATGCGGAGATAGCTGTGGCACAATGCCTTCATTAATGCGATGGCTGTTCTATGTGTGTTATTGAGTACAACCCTTTCTTCTTTCGGGTCTACGATATTTGACCAAGCGTTTTTTCTGCCCAGCGTTTTTTTTTAAATTATAAAACGTCGAAATTGTTTAGTGAATAGATAACGATTAATGTTTAGTGCTGATACTGATTAAATGTGTGCAAGTGTATTCAGCGTTAAACAAATACACGAAGTGTAGTTGTCTTGTGCGTGACTGTTGTATTATTCATATATCATTGCATTACATTTATCTATCACAGACACGTATCAGGATAAACCCAAATGGAGTGTGACGCTCAAATAGATCGAAGTGTCGTGGATACGATTGGTGAGGAAGAGTCATGCGAAAAGCATGAAGAGAATGGCACAACTGACCCGTCAACTTCGGCCGAAATTAACAGAGAGAAAATGCAGGATTTAAAAGAAGATCGTTCGAACGTGTCACTTGCAGATGCACTTCTGTTTGGATGTAGTGAACGTAGTGAACCACTGAATCTCGATCAGGATATCAATTTTCTTGATGACAGTGATGATGATGAGAATAAGAAACAAGCTGACACTGATGACAGCTGTGTAAATGATTGGAAGTTGGTGAAGGATGACAAGAAAAAGACTGATGAACTAATTGGTACAACAAATGATATTGGTGATAAGGATAAAGGCTTGTATCAGCAGAGTGATTTCAAGGGTTTATTGGATAATGAGATGAATTGGGATGAGGACGAGAAGTTAGGGGTGAGCAGTATTGTAAATGAGATAGATTTACTGAATGACGGAATCGGTCGGAATGAAGTTAATTCGAATGAGATCGATAAAGCGAATGTTGTGATGGATGACTATCATTTGGATAATGATGATATGATGGATATGTTAATGAATAAAGATATTGATGCAAATGAAGGGGATGATGGATTGACACGTGAAGACATCGATGGTATTGATGATGATTCGAGGTGTGTTTCTGATAAAGAACAGTCAAGTAGTAGAATGCAGATAAATGAGGAGGAAATTTTGGGGTCGTCGAATGATGCTGAGGAGATTCGAATGGATAAAACTAACAGAAATAATGCTTGGATGAATTGTGGTCAGGAGGATTCAAATGGCGATGTTGTAATTGTGGATGAGGATGAAGATTCGATTATTGAGAGTGAGGATATTATCGTTGAGAGGCTGATGAAAAGGATTGTGAAGACAATCGATGTTGCATTTTTACTATACGATTCTGCTGATCATTACATTGATGGTGAGAAGTTGATCTCGATTTATAAAGATACTCAAATGGACGGTGATAGTAAACGTAGGAATGATTCGCAAGTTCAAGAGTATAACGAAAATTCGATACAATTGTTGGATTGTAATGAAAATTCACGAAGTGATTCGATTATTGTGCGAAGGTTGCGTGAGTCTGATGAAGACAGTCCTGATGACAGTAGCAATTCAAACCAGGTTATAGTGCATCTCACTTTGTTGAGTTTCACGTTTAATGAAGGTTATGAATTGAAGTGGAAATTGGGATTTTTGATTCTGAATTAAAGATGCACATGAACGTGAAAGAACTCGAGAAGTTTACGGAATGTTCGAAATATCGGAAGATAGCCAGTCAAAAATCGAAGTACACAAATGTGTCATTGAACATGAATCTTAAAATTTCGATATTAGTAACCAGTTTGGTTTATTGAGTACCGAGTTATAGGTTGTTAAAAGTTTCAGGTTCATGTGACATACTCGCCGCACAAGTTTGACACTGTTACAAGTGAGTAATTTGATGCTTGAATAATGATTCGTTTACCAAGCACTGTGTAACTAAAGATTCTGTTGTTCTAAATTTCAAGATTTGATTTCTATAAATTTCCGTTTTAAAAGATGTGATACGTTGCTTTATTTGTTTCGACAAAATTCTTTTTGTTCTACGCTACGTTTCCCAAATTTTTTTCAGTTTTTGAAGAATTTGAAATGATTGCATGTAGATGCCAATTGTAAGTAAACTTCATCGATATTGACTTGATAATTGATTGAAAAGAGTGGCAATGTTTGAGATGCGACTGCAAATCACTGTAACGCGTTTCGATTGCCAACGAATCTGGAAATTCGTGAGGGAGACGATTATCAATGTATTGTGGGGGAAGATTTCGACGAGAGGGAGATGGAAGAGGAAAATGATAATGAAACTCGAGAGTATTGTTTATGGTTACCAACAGAGCAGTTGTCTGATGAGGATATCACTGATTACTTGTCAGTCGCGCTCGGTGTTTATAATATCGAACAGGACAGGGTTCGTTCAGACGTTTGACGGAATCATTCTTAGCTAGGACCCATGACGAATAGTCACTGTGAAATATAAGTTTTATTGAAAGTGATAGAGAATCGTTTGCACTAGAATGATTTGTCTCAGATACACTTGAATCGTTTATTATAGGCGTTATACATTCTGCATGAATGTGGATATAATCTGGAAGAGGCATATGAGCAACTAACGAAGAGGAGAATTGTAAGAAAAGAATGGAACGACGATGATATTAACGCGTTTTTGAGAGCTCTCAAACTGTACGGAAAACGATTCTCAAAAATTAAGAAATTGGTTTGTTCATTCCATTTACTTTGCATATTTATTTTGCGTTGATTTATTCGCTTGATTGCGGAATCATCGTTCTTTGTATTCGTTAAGCAACTGAACCAATCCCAAACTTGTTNTGGTTTTATAAATTTGTTCAGTTCGATCTTGCATATCACCACATATTATTTTTCACATTGCATTTGCTACCTATTTTATTTTTTTGTTAATTGTCACCTTTTTTTCTCGTTAGAAAATGTGTTGAATTGTTTGAGGGGGTTGGTGACGTTGATAATCGAACTCAAGTTAAGCTGAAAGTCAAGGAGCTTGGTTGATAAACTCTATTTTATCGCAGCGTATTTTTAGATGCCAAATAAGTCAGTATCGGAAATCGTTAACTTTTACTACGATATGAAAAAGAAGCTTCGTTTGAGGAGTATTCTCGATCAGCGTGCGGAAGAGGGTTACGATAATTATTCAAGGTTCCTTTTCAGTTCGGTTGAACTTCGTTGACCATTTTTGATTTGGACTATTATTTTTCAATGCTCTTCACATTGATTGCATATTACTGACGTTGTATATTTCATTGCGTTCATCGAAATCTCAGAAATCATTACGGGCATGTACATACCTCTATGTTGTCACTCAGTGTCGCTTCCTTGGTTCCTTTGCATCATCCTTTTGACACAATCACTAATATTAATTAGCTTCAAAAAACCATACATCCTCTTGACTACTATCATTGTGGTAATTGTAATGAACAAATGATTATGCTTAGTGATGGGTCAGAATCGGATGGAAATGCTGATGAAAATACAACTGAAGGGCCTTGTGGCAGTTGCGGTAGATTGCACACAGGTTTAAGGAAATGCGCAGATATGAATTTATGCCCTGATTGTTATGATAATGGCAGGTAAATTGTGAATTTATTCTTTCCCACATATTTTTTCATTATTACATCTATCCAGCTTGTAGTGTTTGCACCGAAGATTTTTCGATATTTTTTTTNTTTTTTTTGAAGAAAGTATCACAGTGGTCGAAGGTTTACAACATGCTGTGCTTCGGATCGAAGAAGGAACAAACAGTTAAAGTGCCCGCTTAGTGAGTTTTTTATGATCAGAATTCTTTTCATATGGTGTCAGAATATATGGATAGTGATTTTTTGGGAGTTGCGAGGAAAATTGCAACTGTGTAGAACGAAGCTGAACGATTGATGAGGGTGGATTTAAATGTGGGCATAAACTGAGAGATTGCGAATGTAAAGTTGACGGTTTTTCTTTCAGAAATGGTCGATTTGGTTGGGTCGTTTGGTGATTTTTATCAGGAATATTACGTGAATGCAATAAAAGAGTTCAGAGGTGATATGAAGGACACGAAAAATCTTAAAGAAAGTCGTGATATTAGCGGTAGTGGTGATGATCATGGCACCAATAATGAAGATAATGGGAATAAAAGTAACGGTAATGATAATACTCATGAAAATAACAGTGACAGTAAAGATGATGAAGATGATGACGTGCTGATTATCGAAGACAATTCAGCAGAGAGAAGAGCGGCTTTTATCAGAAAGTGCGAAAAAATGATGAAGTTAGTGAAAATTTGATTGGCCATAAAATTCGACTTTATTTTTGTTGCGTCTGTTGAGTAATATCATGAAGGGGAACTTATGGACTGCAGCAAAATTTATTGGTATTTACATGGAGTTGTTTGGTGTTCGTTTTCGAAACGTACGAATGATGAGTGAGTGTTTTAGGGATATGCAGGTGCTATATCTTCGTGAGCGTTCGCTGTGTGTGCGTATGGAGCATGAAGATTCATTGGAATCGAACCATTTCTTGTCAGATGGTTTGTTTGTTCTTTATTCATTATTGGTATTGACATCATTCCACTTTGAACTGCATGGGGCAAAGAGATTGGCTTTATTTCACAGTGAACACTTTCCGTCAGGTATCGAAAAGTATCGTAAAATGGTTGATGAATGGACTGCTAGCAAAGTTGAAGAGAACTGTGCATCAGCAAACCTGGAATGGACTGAAAAGGAAACATTCCGAGCACTTTTCGGTATGTTGTATTTTATTTTCGCAGTATTGTTAAATCAGTTGGATTGATTATTGAGGTGTGATTTATTGTTGTTGAGTTTTTGCAATTTCGTTCCGATGATGACAATTATTGCCTTATTGGAAGATATCGGAGCAGTTCAAGCAGTTAATTTCATTTATCCTTCTTATTGAGCATTCGGGATCATTTCGTTTTANATGTGTAATTGATTTTACATTTTGAAGGATTTCGTCGTTTTGGTAAAGATTTCGAAGCGATTGCATCTTTACTGGAATCGAAGAGTGTCGATATGATAGAAGAATTCTACGAAAAGCATAAGGCTCAAGCTGATCAGGTTTTTTAATCGTTTCGTTTGCTCACATTCTTTCATTTATGCATTTCTAATGTTGAAACCATATTGACTTTAAATGAAGCATATTGACTTCGAAATCTTATGCATTGCTGATGTTAAAAACATATTGATATACTTGCATTTGCATGAAATTGTTAATGTGAAATGCTGGAATTGAATGTAGAGAAAATGGCGTGTTATTTTGGATGGATGTTGAGTAATAAATAATCAGCTAATAATGTGCTCATTCAGATGATCGAAAAATTTGACGATGAGGTGCAGAAGAATCTCAATGAGATCGATTTTGAACAAATTTTCGACGTTCCTCAGCCAGACGCTGAACTTATTGAATTGGAATGAAAGCGATTATACCGGTCAATACCGATTACTTTGCCGTGAAAGCAGAATGAACCCATTCTGAATGATTGACTATTTTAACTGCGATTCCAGCATTAAATCTAAATTGAAGGAGAGAACGATGAACTGATTGATGCTTTCAGATGTTTGTGTCTTGTACTGTTATTTGCAGTCGATCCATAAGAGCATCGGTGAATCGCTTAATTACGCCAGTTTTTTTAACTTGTAATTTTATTATGATCTCCTGTTATGTCAATCTCTATCTAAGTGCAATTTGTGTGAACTTCACGTTATTTCATGCGCACTACCGCTCTTTGCAAAACGTTTCAATTGTATATTTTTGACCGCCTGAGATTATGTTTCCGTGTACGGTTTTGAGTTGCGCGTGTTTGGTTTTGGATTCTGAATAGTTCGTGTTATTGTCGTTATGTCATTATTGTCATTATCTTTTATGTTATTTGTTGAGATTGACAGTGACTTTGTTTGTTTTTTAAAATGGCACTTGTTGCTAAATTTTATGGTTATAGTTTCAAATTGGTTTATGGCTATAAATTTTCAATAATATATAATTCAGCAGTGATCATGAATCCAGAAGAAACTCATTCGAATTTTGTTCTCACGTGAAACAATTTGAAACATTCTCTTCCGCACTTGCATTAGCTAATAATGAGTTTTTATAAAACAAATGATTAGCGAAAATGAAATATGCAGATCTGGTTCATTCATCGTGACCGCATTATTTGCGTTTACAGTTTTAGTGGCTTATGGCGAAAGAAAATTGCTGTGAACACTCGCGGAGAACAATGATTTTTAAAAAAAATAAGGAATGAAAGTTACATTGTTATGATGCTAAAGGTTCATTTCTCTGAAGTCGAATCAACGTTAAGCGTTCACTCCAGTTAAGCAATTCATCCTTTCACACCAGCATTCTTAATCGTGATATCAGTGAGGTTTATCATGAACTATTGTCGGAAGGTCACATAAAGTGGCTGTTGAACGATCAATTTTGAAGTTGGGTCTATAGACTTTATTGTATAGCGATGGTAACTGATACACTGGTGATGGTAATCGATCGAAATTCCGAGATTCGGATTCCGATCGAGCAATTTTGAAGTTTAGTCGGAATTATGGAACTCAGAAATGTGAATTTGGTTGGATTCCGATCGAGGAATTTCAAAGTTCGGTTAGAATGTGGACAATTCGATTCGGTCAGATTCTGACTGAACTGAAATTTGGTTGAGATGCTATCTTTATTATATAGTATCACATTAAGGACAATTTCCTC